CATAGCTCACAACAACCTTTAACTCTTGGGCTCAAGCAATTCTCTTGCCTCAGCCTCCCGAGTAGCTGGGACTACAGATGCCTGCCACAACATCTGGGTCTCACTCTAGCTCAGGCTGGTCTCAAACTTGTGAGCTCAGGCGATCCTCCCACCTCACCCTCTCAAAGTGCTGGGATCACAGGTGTGAGCCAGCACACCTGACTGATATGTTGAATTTTCATTTTAGCTTCCAAATTTGTACATTTGTACAAACAACAGAGCATCAAAATCTACGAAACAGAAGTTGATAGAGCTGAAAGGAGAGATAAACAAATCCACAATTATAGTTGAAGACCTCAAAATCTTTCTGTCATCAGTTGATAGAACTACTCTATAGAAAATCGGCATGGATATAGGAGAGCTCTGTCATACCATTGACCAAAAGGATCTGTTTGACATCTATAGCATACTTTACCCAACAACAGCAGAATACACATTCTTCTTGAATGCCCATGGAATATCTATCAAAATAGAGCACACTAAATACCTCAATGATTTTAAAATAATTGAAATAACATAGAGTATACCCCTCTCTGACCACATAGAAGATGAAGTCTCTGTGCTTAGAGGCCAGACTGGAGTGCACCAAGCATTTGGGGAGGTTGGGAAGGGGAAGGGCTAGTGAGTGGCCCCTTAACACCTCTCAGCCCTGATTGCCAAACTGTATCAACTCACTGAGCTAGAACTGCACATGCCAGACTCAAGGTAGTGGACCCCAGGAATGTTTTGCTTGACTTTTGGGTGGAGGGGTACCCTACATCATTGTGCCTAAGCAGATGGTGTAGAGCAGGTGTAGCCTACTTTGCAGTCAGTGTGGTCTAGCAGCTAGCTAGGTCTATAGCACCCTAATTCCTGTTGGATCTTTTGCATCAGCTCCTCCACACCTGGCTAGATAGGGGTGTTCAATGTAGTACAAAGGGCAATAGTACAGCCTCTCCCTGGTATACTGTCCTGCGCTAAAGCTTGGCCTCATGGGAGCCTCACACCCATCTTCCATTCCCACCTTCCCACACCACGGACTTCTAAACAGATAGCTTCCTAAAGACAGTGTAACCAGGTTTCAAATGTCATGAGGTCATGTCTCTGTATGAGGTATGTATATATTTCCAAGCACTTTACTTCTCTCATCCAACCCTGACTGATAGATACCTGTGGGGTGTGGTGATAGCTACATCCTCAGATGTGAGTCAGCTGTGCAGCAGATAAGGGTGCCATTCTAGGGTTAGTTAGTTTAAGAGTGGTGCTGGTGTCAGTAGCAATGTTATTCCAGCAAGGCCATCAGGATAAAACTGTTGTCAATTCCAGCACTCTGATAGAAAGGGCCTTTTGGGGAGTCCCTATCCCCAGCCAGATCGGACCTCAGGCACAGAAGCCAGTGTTAAACTTGTCATGTGTCTCCCTCCCAAGTACCTGGGCCCAGCCACCCAGCCCCATGTGAAGAGGGGACATGTTCAGCAGAGATATGTCAATGGTAAACCATTTTGAAGAGAACAAATTAACTGTTTCAAAGAGAAAAATAAAACCATGCCCTAGCTTACTCCATAAACAACTTTCAGATGGATTAAAGACACTTTGAAGTCATTAAAATACAGGAGAACTTTTCATTTATTGCAAAACAAGAGAGTCCTTTGTAAGCATAAGAAAACTTTGGTAGCTGGGTAGAATAATACAGATTTTTTTTTTTTTTTTTTGTGGCCATCTGGCCATATACCACAGACATTTTAACTTTGTCAAAGCTTTGACCTAGTCTCTAAGCATTTATGCTAGAAAAGTAACAGAGATGCACAAAACATTCTGGACAAGGACAGTGATCAAAGCATTATTTATAATAGTAAAAAAGTTACAAGCATTATAAATGTCCTCCAAGAGGACATCTGCTTTCAAATAATGTTTCCAAGAAAATTTAACTGTTTAAAGACATAAGGAAATATAACTGGTGAAAAAGAGCAGTTTGACCCACACTTGAATTTCTTCTTCCTCCCAAGATCTCACTAAAATAATCATAAATGAATTCAAAAAACATATAGGGCCCAAGGGGCCAAGTTGTCCAGGAGAGGCTCACATGAGATTACAACAAATTTTTGAACAGATAGATAAGGTGATTTGGCAGGGCAGAGAAAGCTCAGACCAGAGGGATGGCATTTTCTCTGGGCAGCATCCTAGGAAAATACCAAGTATACCCAAGGCTGGAATGAGGATAGAGTGGAAACCAGAAGACAGTGGAAAATGTCTACTTCTATGTTGGAAAATGTCTACTTCCACTCAAGATAAAGTAACAGAGACCAGATCTAGTCCCTTTCAAAATGACTAAAAACAAAAACTAGACAAAATTTATGGAACAACAGTTTTCAGCACTGGACAATAGGCAGCACAGCACAGAGATCCCTGAGAGGGAAAAGAGTGAAGTGAATCCTGGGAGAGTCCAGCAGGATCCCTGAGGAGACAGAACAAGAGTGCAGGAGGCTGTTCTGGGCTAAGTTATGACTCTTCACCATGCCTCAAAATTCATGTGCTGAAGCCCTAACCCCCAGGACCTCAAAATGTGACTGTATTTGGAGATAAGGGTCTTTATGGAGGTGATTAAGTTAAAGTGGGGCTGTTAGGGATGAGCCCAAATTCCTCCTCTTCCTTATAAGAAGAGGAAATTTGGACACACACAGGGACATGGAGGATGCCTACACACAGAGGAAAGGCCATGCGGGGACACAGCAAGAAAGTGGCCATGTAGAAGCCAAGAGGGGAGGCCTCAGAAGAAACCAACCCTGCCAACACCTTGATCTCAGATTCTGGCCTTCAGAACTATGAGAAAATAAATGTTGTTTAAGCCCCCCAGCCTGTGATATTTTGTTATGACAGCCTGAGCAAACTAATACAGATGCCAAGCTGGCTGAAGTTCACAGGGCAGAAGGTCAAAGGGAAGGGAGAGGGCTCCAGAGATCTGTAGATCATCCTCCCTATCTTTAACTCAGTATTGATCAGTGTGAATGTATGAGAAAACTACCTAAGACTGGATAAAGAGCCATCAGAAATGAACAGGAGGAAAAAATCACAATACATCATACAGGACTGGGATTAGGTCACTAACTTCCACATAGGAAAATCTCACAACACATGGAGCATTTGGGAAGGAAACTAGAAGGACACAGAGGTGGCCATGTGGACCCTTGACTACGGGTCACTCTGTTCTTACTTAACAACACTTCAAAGTGATCCTTGAAAGGACGAATCTGCATCTCAAAACAAAGTTCAAAAACATTTAAAGAAATAATGGCAACAAAATCTGGCACTCAACAAGGTAAAAATTCACAGCACCAGATGTCAAATCAAATATAACCAGCCGTGCAAGGCAGAAGATGCAAACCATTATGGGGAGAAAAATCAATCAATAGAAATACATCCAGAAATGACAGAATTAGTAGATAAAATCATTGAAACAACTATCATAAATATACCCTATAAGATCAAAAAGGTAGAGGAAAGAAAGAGTATGTGGAGAGACATAAAAAATATTTGTAAAAACCCAAATGGAGATTATAGAGATAAAAAAATTAAAATTAAAAAATGCATTGAGGGTTTGCCCCGCCATCTACTGCAGAGGTTCTTTCTTCTCTAGTTTCTTGAAGCCCAGACCAGCGCTTGTGCCTGGCGAGACATGATAATGAAGGCGGTGTGTGTGTTGAAGGGTGATGGCACAGTGCAGGGCACCATCCACTTTGAGCAGCAGGGAAATGGACCAGTTATGGTAAAGGGACACATCACAGGACTGGCTGAAGGTGATCACGGATTCCATGCCCATCAGTTTGGAGATAATACACAAGGCTGTACCAGTGCAGGTCCTCACTTTAATCCTCAATCCAAAAAACATGGTGGGCCAAATGATGAAGAGAGGCATGTTGGAGATCTGGGCAATGTGACTGCCGGCAAAAATGGTGAGGCCATTGTGTCTATTGAAGATTCTATGATCTCACTCTCAGGAGAATATTCCATCATTGGCCGCACAATGGTGGTCCACGAAAAACCAGATGACTTGGGCAAAGGTGGAAATGAAGAAAGTACAAAGACGGGAAATGCTGGAGGTCAATTGGCTTGTGGTGTAATTGGGATCGCCCAGTAAAGATTACCAAGGATGAGGTCTGAGTCCTAGTAACTCATTTGTTATCCTGCTAGTTGTAGAAATGTAACTTGATAAAAATTAAACACTGTAATCTTAAAAAAAAATGCATTGGATGGGATTAGACATTACAGAAGAAAAGATTACTTAATTGGAAGATAACAATAGAAACTACAGGGCGGCACCCGTAGCTCAGTGGGTAGGGCGCCGGCCACATACCCTACACCAAGGCAGGCAGGTTCGTACCCAGCCCAGGCCTGCTAAACAGCAATGACAACAGCAACAACAACAAAAAAATAGCTGGGTGTTGTGGCAGGCTCCTATAGTCCCAGCTACTTAGGAGGCTAAGGCAAGAGGATCACTTAAGCTCAAGAGTTAGAGGTTGCTGTGAGCTGTGATGTCAAGGCACTCTACCAAGGGCAACAAAGTGAGACTCTGTCAAAAAAAAAACCATAATAATAAATAAAAAATAAAAATAAATAAAAACTATAAAAAATTAAACACATAGAGAAAAAAAGAGAAAGTACAAAAAGGAACAGAGACTCAGTGAGCAATGAAACAATTTCAAGCATTTTAGCATATGTATAATTATAGTCCCCAAACAGGAGGGGTAATGAAAGAGTTGAAGAAAAATAGACTGAATTTTCCCCCAAATTTTAGCAAAGTAGCAAGGTTGGAATTGTCAAGCTCTTGTCTTCTCATAGAAACATCCAAAAATAAGCAGAAACTGTCATAACTAATTTTGCAGAGCCCTGAGACAGAGAAAATTAAGAACACTTACACCAAAACACACGAAGTGTCAAAAGACAAAAAGAGAAAATTTTGAAAGCAGCAAGAAAGAAACATCCTGCCGTACACAAGAGATCCTCAATAAGATTATTCCATTTCTCATCAGAAAACAAATGAGTTCAGAAGGCAGCAAGATAACATATTTAAATCTTGAAAGAAAAATATTGCCAACCAAGAAGTCCATATTTAGCAAAACTATCCTTCAGAAAGCAAAGAGAAATTGAGATATTTCATTCATTCTTTCTTTTTTAAAGAAAGACATTTCTAGAAAAACAGAAGCAGAGAAATTTCATTACCAGCTTTTCTACAAAACACACCAAAGGGAGTCAGGCTGAAAAGAAAAATTTGACAATAACTCAAAGCCATAAGAAAAAATTAAGAACTTTGATAAAGGTAATTACATAGCTAAATGTATAGGCTAATGTGAATGTACTTTTTGCTTTTTTTTTTTTAATGCTTTGTTACTTTTTATTTTTCCTTTATAATAGAAATATACATAAAACAGTATTTGTATATGTAATTTAATAGGCATACAACATGTAAAGATGTAATCTGTGACAACATAAATGGGGAAGGACAGAGATGTATAGAAGCAGATCATTTGTATACTATTTAAACTAAGTTGGTATTATTCAAACAAGGTTGTCATAGGTAACCAAGGTTACCTAAGGTAGCCACTAAGAAAATAACTTAAAAATATACAGAAATGGAAAGAAGGGAGTTAAAATTGTACACCACAAAAATGAACTAAATAGAAAAAAGGCAGTAGTTGAGGAATAAAGAGCATATGATGTATAAAAACCAACAAATGGTGGGAGTTAATCATTTTTATCAGTAATTTCATTGAGTGTAAATGAACTAAACTCTCCTCTGAAAAAGGCTGGGATTGTCATATTGAATCTTAAGAGACAAGATCAATCTGTATGCAGTTTACAAGAGACTCACTTTAGATAGAAGAATGCAAAGAAGTTGAAAATAGAAGAATGTAAGATGATATTCCATTTAAATCGAAACCAATAAGAGCTGAGATGCCTATGGTATTGTCAGAAAAGTAGACTTTACACAAGACAAAGAATAATATATATTGAGAAAAGTTTTGATGCAATACAAAAATATAACAACTGTAAACACATACACATCTAATAGAGACCCAAAATATATAAAGGAAACACTGACAGCATTGAAGGGAGAAACAGACAGTGCCACAATAATTGTTGGGGATTATTCAATATCCCACTTCAATAATAAATATAAAAACCAGAAAGAATATCAGTAAGGAAATAGAGAAATTGAAAAACTCTACAACCCAACTAGACCTATCAAACTATACAGAATATTCCACCCAAGAGCAGCAGAATAAACATTATTCTTAGGTGCACATAGAATATTATCCAGGTCAGAGCATATATCAGGACACAGAACAATTCTAAAAAATTTTAAAAGATTGAAATCATACAAAGTATGTTCTTTGATCACAATGGAATGAAACTAGAAATCATTAACAGAAATAAAAATGAAAAATTTATAAATATGTGGAAATTGAACAACACACTCTCAAATCAACCAATGGTTAAAGAAGAAATCACAAGGAAAGTTAGAAAATACCATGAGACAAATGAAAATAAAATCAAAGCATACCAAAATTTATGAAATACAGTAAAAACAGTTCAAACAGAGAAATGTATAGCTATAAGCACTTACAATAAAATAGGAGAAAGATATAAGAAAGAATAAAAATCTCTGGTCAATAACTATGAACCTTAAGGAACCAGAAAACAAAGAGAAAACTAAACCCAAAGCTAGCAGGAGATGGAGATAATAAAAAGCAGAGCATGGCTAGGCACTCGTAGCTCAGTGGTTAGGGTGCCAGACACATACAATGGTGCTAGTGGATTCAAACCTGGCCCAGGACTGCTAAAGAACAATGATGGCAACATCAACAACAAAAATAGCTGGGTACTTGTAGTCGCAGCTAGTTGGGAGGCTGAGGCAAGAGAATTGCTTAAGCCCAAGAGTTTGAGGTTACTGTGAGCTGTGACACCACAGCACTCTACCAAGGGCAACATAGTGAAACTCTGTCTCAAAAAGAAAAAAAAAAAGAAAGAAAGAAAGAAAGAAATCATAGCAGAGATAAATAAAATAGAAAATAGAAAAACAACAAAGAAAATCAGTGAAACAAAAAGTTTTGAAAAAGTCAACAAAAAGACAAATCTTTATCTAGAACAGCTAAGAAAAAAGAGAAAAGACTCAAATTAATAAATCAAAAATGAAAGTGGGGACATTATTACTGGTTTTAGAGAAATAAGAAATTATGTGTAAATTGTATAACAATTATATACCAACAAATTGGACAACTTTTTTTTTTTTTTTTGAGACGGAGCCTCAAGCTATCCCCTGGGTAGAGTGCCATGGCATCAC